CCCGGGGGTCCCGGGGGTCCCCCGGTGCCACCTCCTCGTCCCCCTTCCCTCTCCCTGCACCCCCTAAAATCACTCATTAACGCCCCGCAGCAATTAAAACGCTCTCTAGGAAGGCACCCGCCCAACAGCTTTAGGAATAAAACCATTTATTTCCGAATAAACGTGCAAAGACTAATACAATTTTCTGGACCGAAACAACAGTAAATCCAATAATTCACCAATACCGAGCGAAAATTAATTATCATATCTATTACAATCCTTAAGGGGCTTGGAGCATTTCAAATTCCCTGATCAAATCATCTTTTTTTTTTGTCGTGTTGAGCAGTGCAAACATCACCTGGACAAAAAAAACCGACCGGACGGACGGAAGATCGTCCTAAAATGGATTCCCGCCGCCGATATTCGACTATTTTTGGAACGCGTTCTGGAATTTGCCTGATTTTTCCGGTAGCGGTTATTAAAATTGAAGTTGTATTAAAAGCGTCGATTCTATTAAAGTTTATTTTCGCCTGTTTCGATAGCTGATTTCAGAGTTTACGCTGAAAAAAAAAAAAAAAAAAACAACCCAAAAATGTTGAATAAGAGAGAAATTCGTGGTGGGAGAGGGTCGAATTAGTGGAGAATACTTGATAAGGGGTAATTTGGGGCGGTATAGGTAAAATCGCAGCCCGATTGGGTAGTAAAGATACATATAGGTCGATTCATACTTGTAGTGTGGCTATAAGGAGTCAATATATAGAAAATAAAACGAGTGTAGACGTGAACGGCCGTTCCTGGTGTAGGTGAGCATCATCTCGGTGGGTTCACGGGGGCGCGATGGGAAATGGCTCGCCCAAGGGAATTAAGGCACAGATTAGGGGGTCAGGAGGAATTCCCTTCATCTACAGAGCCCGCGCCGGGCTCTGGGATCCGATCTTCAGCGTGGACAAGTTGTCCGGGAGCTGGATCGTGGATCTGCCTTGGCGTAGACCCAAAGATGAGATGGGGTAGGTTCTTTCAGAAGCAGCGTCTCCCAGAGCCAAGCTACGTCCACATTTCCATCATAAGCAGAGTTTCCCGAGGGCCACCGGGCTTGTCGGTGACATTCGGTGGCATCGTCCCAGGCAACTTCATGAATTTCAGCAAGTAGACTTCTGGTGTCACCTTGAGGTTTCAGCTTGAAGCCACCGTTGGGTCTGAAGACAACTCAAAGCCAAGGAAAAATTCCTTTGGGTTACCCCTATGGTGTTTAATAATAACGCGCTCACCATAAATTGGATGTTCTCCTCAAGGGACACTGTTTGGGGTCAACCACGGTCCCATTCCCAACTTAACGACGATCGTAAGGGAATAGGAAGATTTCACAACGAGGTAGTCATTGCGTCTAGCTTATGGACCGCGACTTTGACGTCGATACCGTCAAGCACTTCCACGCCGGTCCCCAAAAAGGGGCGGTCCCTGTGTGGACGTGAGCTGAGGTAGGACATCGCTACGGAGCCAGGCTCGCCATCTCTCGTCAACGCTAAACGAGACGGTGGGTCCAGTCTGGATGTATTTAATACTGCTCACTCGACCCGTTTTAAGGACCAGGTGGGATCCAAAAGTATAGAATCGTTAAGGTTGGAAAAGACCCTGAAGATCATCGAGTCCAACCGTTAACCCAGCACTGCCGAAGTAGTTGTTGAGTACAATTTTTTCCCAGTCACGGAGGGGGATGAAGTCAAGGGTGAGTCGCGAAGGACGGTTGGAGGCTTGGTTGCGATGAGTTTGGGAGGAGACGGACTTGGAGATGAGGGAATAATATTAAATTTAAAAACGAGAGCCATGGGAGCCTTAGCCCAAAGGCACTCAGTGTCAGCAGGGTGAGAAGAATCAGGGTCACGCTACAAAAAGAGTGACATGGGAACCCCGTGTCACCAGTAACTCGCTAATACTGGGCTCCAATTGGTATCCGGGCGTGCAAAGACGTACACAACCATGGTTATCAGGTAAGGACACAGGACACGTCTTCTCTGGATGAGTAACTTGGACCAGTTGATGGACTCGGGGCATCTCAAATCCTTTTATTGTTGAGCTGTGGAACCCCCATCTGGACTCGTGATCTGATCATCACATCCCACCTCTGCTCCCACTCTGTGCCGGGTCTTTCCTTTCTGCTGGCGGTGCTCGGACACATCACGCAAAGCAACGCCAGCCCTGGTCTTCCTGTGAATCTCCTGGTGCCTCGTACGGTGGGAGGCTTGGCGGAAGGTTTTTTTGCAGATGGGGCAGGTATAGGGTTTTTCTCCCGTGTGGATTCGTTGGTGGGTGACGAGGAGAAAATTCGAGTGGAAATTTTTCCCGCAGTCGGAGCATCTGTAAGGTCTCCCCTCGGTGTGGAACCGCTGGTGCTTCAGGAGAGCCGCGATAGCACTGAAACATTCCCCGCAACCGGGACACTTATAGGGTTTCTCCTCGGTGTGGCTCCTCTGGTGTCTCCGAAGGGTTGAGCCATCGTTGTAGCACTTCTCGCAGTCGGGACACTTGAAAGGTCTCTCCCCGGTATGGATTCGCTGGTGTTTCAGTAGCGTTGCGCTGTGGCTGAAGGTCTTCTCGCACTTGGAGCATCTATAGGGTCGCTCTCCGACGTGGGTAGCCCGGTGAAGGACCAGAGCTGACTTCGCATGGAAGCTCTTACTACAGTAGGGGCATTGATAACGTCCCTCCCCTGGGTGGGCTCCCTGAGATGTCCTCTGCTTCTTTTCCATGTGGATCTTCTTGTGTTTGATGAGCCCAGAGCTGTCCGTGTAGCTTTGCCCGCAATCCATACATTTGTACGGTCTCTCCCCGGTGTGGCTTCGCTGGTGTCTCGTAAGGTGGGAGCTCAACCGAAAGCTTTTATCACAGTTGAGACAGTTGTAGGGTTTCTCCCCAGTGTGGATTCTCCGATGGGCGACGAGGTCTGAACTCATGATGAAGCTCTTCCCGCATTCGGGGCACTTGTAGGGTTTCTCCCCGGTATGGACCCGCTGGTGAACCATGAGGGTCGATCTCCGGTTGAAGCCTTTCCCGCACACCGAGCACTTGAACGGCTTCTCTCCCGTATGGATCCGCTGATGAATGGCCAGGTACCGTCTCAAGCTGAAGTTCTTCCCGCACGCCAGACACCGAAAAGGGTTGTCCGCGCTATGGGTGCCTTCGTGGGCCAGCAGATAGGCGCTCAACCGAAAGGTCTTCCCGCAAATGAGGCAGACGTAGGGTTTATCCCTGGTGTGGATCTTCCGATGGGTGCTGAGGGTGGAGGTGAGACGGAAACGCTTCCCGCAGTCCGAGCACTTGTAGGGTTTCTCGCCCGTATGGATCCGTTGATGCTTGTTGAGAGCTGACCCAACTCGGAAACCCTTCCCGCACTCGTGGCAGGTGAAGGGCTTTTCACCGGTGTGGATGCGCTGGTGGGGGATGAGGAAGGACCTCCGACTGAAGATCTTCCCGCAGTCGGGACAGCTATAGATGGCCGTGTGCATGCTCCCTTCTGCCTTCCCAGCAAGGTTCTTCCCTCTCTTGCTGCAGCCGTAGGTCCTCTTCGTTGCACGGCTCCCATGGCAGGCTTGCAGCCGCCCACCCTTTCTCGGTGATGGGCATCCGTCATTGCTCGGCTCTTCGGAGGCTTGTTGTGGTTGACTCTCACACTCGTACTCTGCCGTTGGGTTTGGCTCTTGAGGGATTTCCACCTCACATGCGTCCAAAAGCAGCTCAGACCCTTCTGGTTCCTCCAAACCGTTTTCCTTCCCATCCGCCATCCCGTCAGCTGTAGGAACAAAGATCCCAAGCCCAAGTCAGGGCACTGCCTTTACCAAAGTTCCCATGAAAGTTGAAGGCTCTGATGCCCAAATCTACCCTGCTCGGCAGCTCCCGTGGTACCACAGGGGCGGTGGTGGTGACCCCAGGCTACAACCCCACACCGATGCAGCTCACGGGGCATGAGGACACGAGAAAAGGCCATGGGAAAGAGATCTGTTGAGGGTTCCCAGACAGAGAAGGTCCACGTGGACCATGGAAGCACCACCGTGCCCTTCTCCTCCCCTGCTGCCCACCTGCCCAAAGGGCTTCTCCATGCCACCCTTTCCCACCACATCCATTTGCTCCCCTGGGAAGACCTGGAGAAGAAAGAGGATGCGGTGACGGGGTCCCACGGTCACTCGCACCCCACGGGTGGGATGGGCCCGACCACCACCTTCACCGTGTCTCCCAAAGCATCATCAACCACCCATTTGGAGCTGGTGGTAGGACCCATGTGTTGGGCAGGACCCAACCACCACCACCCTGTCCCGCATCTACCTCCCACCCCAGCCGCCCCCTGGGACCCTCGGAGCTCAGCCCCACGGCCCAGGTCCCCCGTGGACCTCCCCCCCCAGGAGCTGGCCCAGGCCCCCCCTCCCCGGCTACCTGCGGGATGCCCAGGCTCGGGGCTCAGTGGTCCCCGGGGAGGTGGCTCCTTCTGTGACCCGGATACAGTGAGTAGTGGAGCCACATCCTTCCTCCTCTTCCTCCTCTTCCTCCTCTTCCTCCTCTTCCTCCTCTTCCTCCTCCTCTTCCGCCTCCATCCCTCTTCCCCCTGCTCCTCCTCCTTCATCCCTCCTCCTCCTGCTCCTCCTCCTCCATCCCTCCTCCTCCTTCTCCTCCTCCTTCATCCCTCCTCCTCCTTCTCCTCCTCCTTCATCCCTCCTCCTCCTTCTCCTCCTCCTTCATCCCTCCTCCTCCTTCTCCTCCTCCTTCATCCCTCCTCCCCCTGCTCCTCCTCCTCCATCCCTCCTCCCCCTGCTCCTCCTTCTCCATCCCTCCTCCTCCTCCTCCTCCATCCCTCCTCCTCCCCCTCCATCCCCCCTCCCTCCTCCATCCCTCCTCCTCCTCCTCCATCCCTCCTCCTCCTCCTCCATCCCTCCTCCTCCTCCTCCATCCCTCCTCCTCCTGCTCCTCCTCCTCCATCCCTCCTCTTCCTGCTCCTGCTCCTCCTCCTCCCCTCCTCCTCCTCCATCCCTCCGCCTCCTCCTCCATCCCTCCGCCTCCTGCTCCTCCCCAATCCCTCTTCCTCCATGCCTTGTGCTCCTTCATCCCTCCTCCATCCCTCCTCCTCCATCCCTCCTCCTCTCCATCGCTCCGCCTCCATCCTTCCTCCTCTCCATCCCTCCTCCTCTCCATCCCTCTGCCTCCATCCCTCCTCCTCTCCATCCCTCTGAGAAGAGAAGAGAAGAGAAGAGAAGAGAAGAGAAGAGAAGAGAAGAGAAGAGAAGAGAAGAGAAGAGAAGAGAAGAGAAGAGAAGAGAAGAGAAGAGAAGAGAAGAGAAGAGAAGAGAAGAGAAGAGAAGAGAAGAGAAGAGAAGAGAAGAGAAGAGAAGAGAAGAGAAGAGAAGAGAAGAGAAGAGAAGAGAAGAGAAGAGAAGAGAAGAGAAGAGAAGAGAAGAGAAGAGAAGAGAAGAGAAGAGAAGAGAAGAGAAGAGAAGAGAAGAGAAGAGAAGAGAAGAGAAGAGAAGAGAAGAGAAGAGAAGAGAAGAGAAGAGAAGAGAAGAGAAGAGAAGAGAAGAGAAGAGAAGAGAAGAGAAGAGAAGAGAAGAGAAGAGAAGAGAAGAGAAGAGAAGAGAAGAGAAGAGAAGAGAAGAGAAGAGAAGAGAAGAGAAGAGAAGAGAAGAGAAGAGAAGAGAAGAGAAGAGAAGAGAAGAGAAGAGAAGAGAAGAGAAGAGAAGAGAAGAGAAGAGAAGAGAAGAGAAGAGAAGAGAAGAGAAGAGAAGAGAAGAGAAGAGAAGAGAAGAGAAGAGAAGAGAAGAGAAGAGAAGAGAAGAGAAGAGAAGAGAAGAGAAGAGAAGAGAAGAGAAGAGAAGAGAAGAGAAGAGAAGAGAAGAGAAGAGAAGAGAAGAGAAGAGAAGAGAAGAGAAGAGAAGAGAAGAGAAGAGAAGAGAAGAGAAGAGAAGAGAAGAGAAGAGAAGAGAAGAGAAGAGAAGAGAAGAGAAGAGAAGAGAAGAGAAGAGAAGAGAAGAGAAGAGAAGAGAAGAGAAGAGAAGAGAAGAGAAGAGAAGAGAAGAGAAGAGAAGAGAAGAGAAGAGAAGAGAAGAGAAGAGAAGAGAAGAGAAGAGAAGAGAAGAGAAGAGAAGAGAAGAGAAGAGAAGAGAAGAGAAGAGAAGAGAAGAGAAGAGAAGAGAAGAGAAGAGAAGAGAAGAGAAGAGAAGAGAAGAGAAGAGAAGAGAAGAGAAGAGAAGAGAAGAGAAGAGAAGAGAAGAGAAGAGAAGAGAAGAGAAGAGAAGAGAAGAGAAGAGAAGAGAAGAGAAGAGAAGAGAAGAGAAGAGAAGAGAAGAGAAGAGAAGAGAAGAGAAGAGAAGAGAAGAGAAGAGAAGAGAAGAGAAGAGAAGAGAAGAGAAGAGAAGAGAAGAGAAGAGAAGAGAAGAGAAGAGAAGAGAAGAGAAGAGAAGAGAAGAGAAGAGAAGAGAAGAGAAGAGAAGAGAAGAGAAGAGAAGAGAAGAGAAGAGAAGAGAAGAGAAGAGAAGAGAAGAGAAGAGAAGAGAAGAGAAGAGAAGAGAAGAGAAGAGAAGAGAAGAGAAGAGGGAGAGAGAGAAGAGAAGAGAAGAGAAGAGAAGAGAAGAGAAGAGAAGAGAAGAGAAGAGAAGAGAAGAGAAGAGAAGAGAAGAGAAGAGAAGAGAGAAGAGAGAAGAGAGAAGAAGAAGAAGAAGAAAGAAGGAGAAGAAGAAAGAAGGAGAAGGAGAAGGAGAAAGAAGAAGGAAGAGGAGGAGAAAGGAGGAGAAGAAGAAGGAGGAGGAGAAGAAGTAGAAAGCAGGAGAAGGAAGAGAAGGAGGAGAAGAAGGAGGAGGAGGAGTGACGCAAAGGCCAGCACTCACCACCTCCCATGGGGAGACGGATGCCCAGCCAGTTCCCGACCAAAATCCGGCCAACCCCCGCCCCCCCAAACCCCCTCCTCTCCATTTTATTGCTGAGCACGACGTGATACGGCCGGGAACATCTCTTTGGTTGGGGCGGCTCATCTGCTTGGTTGGGTCCCCCTTCCCCATCTCTTGTGCATCCCCCAAATCTCTTCACTGTTAAATGAACAGGACGTGAATCTGAGAGACATCAGGAGCAAAATCCACAATATTTGACAGAAACGTCAAAAAAAAAAGAGGTATTTCTTCTATTTACTATAAGGGGACGCATACACACACTCGTCTGCGTATGTGTGTGCGTATATATGTACGTGTGCACATACATAATGAAGGGAGCATCCCCTACGCTCAATTTTTATTGCAGGACCCTGGCTGGATTTTTGCTTCCTCCAAACCTCCCGAGGCTTTTTGTTGCCAAAATTTCCCCCCCCATCGGCAGCGTCTCCTTCCTCAGGGTAAAATAGTCCCCAAGCTGTTGGTGAGAGCGGCTCATCCCGCCGCCATCATGGTCCGGTATCCTTGTATCCCACCAGGAAGCACGAAAGCCTCAGCCATGGTGAGCACCATCACTGAAGTTCATCTTGACAATTTGTAATCGGGTAATAATTAACGGTACACGCTTTTAACGAAGCGAGTGATGAACAGGGAGAGACAAACATATGAAGAGCAAACTGAATAAAATACAACAGGAAGGTCACAGCTTAGAAAATAAGACCTGAGATGCCAACCAGCATCCCACCAAAACATCGTACCAACGCTGTCCATCAGTTTGTTCAACCTTGGGTCTTCTTAACGACCCCGCTGGTTAACGAGACTTTATAATCCCTTGGGACTCATGGGAGCACCTTGGTTTTTGCCAGGAAGGTAGCGTTTCTTAAACATCTCCTTTCCCTGGACCCACGAGTCCCCGTGGAGATGCCGGGGCTCTTGGATGTGATGGTCCCACGTGCTGGGGTGAAGGAAGAGCCACGTTGCCCATGTGCCCAAGGCACCTGCTAGTAAATCTCCTCCTTCTTTACACCTATGTGCAGGCACTCATGTTTAAAAGCAGAGAGGGGCTCATGCAACCCCTTATCCCCCCACAAAAAACCCTTGGTGGGGCGTTAGCATCCCCAGACATCTCTGAATATCCTCCTCCAAGATCACCAGGCTCATGGGATGAGACCAAAGGGGTGGAAGTCCCTATCTAAGGAGGTAACAACCCCCTAATTTCGTGGCACGTCATCCCCGGGAGAAGCTCCCTGGCCCACCGGCACCTCCTCCAAGTGGGTCCTCTGATGGCGAAGACACTCGGCGCCCGCGCTGAATGACTTCCCGCAGACCAGGCACGCGTGGGAGCTCTCCTGCGCGTGGGTCTGCTGGTGCGTGGCGAGGTGGGAGCTGGTCCGAAAGGTTTTCTGGCATTGCTGACAGCTGTACGGCATCTCCCCGGTGTGGATCCGTCGGTGCAAGATGAGTTTTTGCTTCTGAGTAAAGGATTTCCCACAATCAGAGCAGGAAAAAGGTTTTTCTCCAGTGTGGATCCTCCGATGCCTGGAAAGGCTCGAGTTCTGGGTGAAGCACTCCCCGCACTCGGGGCACTCGTACGGTCTCTCTCCCTTATGGATCCTATGGTGGGAGACGAGGTTGGAGAAGTCGTTGAAGGTCTTGCCGCAATCTGGGCACTTGTAGGGTCGTTCTCCCGTGTGATTTCTTTGATGGCGTCTCAGGCTGTTTCTCCAGCAGAAGGTCTTCCCACACTCGGGGCATTTATGGGTCTTCTGCTTGGCACGGGCCACCGGCTTGCTCGTGGCTGCGCGGGTGTCCTTCACGCCACCCCTTTGCCTCATCGGTGTCTGCTTCTTCGTGCTCTCCAACTTCTCCTCCAGCACCCGGGGGGGTTGTTCTGGCTCCATCTGGGCGCTCTTAGTGCCTGCTCGAGAAAGACAAAACCATCGCACCAACTCGGATGAGCGGAGCAGAGGAGGGGACAGGACCTCCACGAGCAAGGATGGAGGAGAAACCCAAGTATCTGTTGGGGTAATGGAAGCTGGGTTTGCAGTGGTGAAGGATGGGTGAAGAGCGGCCTCCATGTCCTCAAATGAACCTGGGAAATGTTCTTGGAGACCATTTGCTATCACCAAGACTGACTTATGACTGCATGGAAGAAGGTGCAGAGGCTTCCAGCGCAGCTCCGTTAGTTGGAGGTCTCCAGTCCAACCTCCTGCTCAGACCAGGACTATCCCCACCGCTAGTTCAACCCAACCCAGAGCAAATCCATCCCCAGGGACATCTCCCACCCCATCACCGCTGCCACACCGGGAGCAGGAATCCCAACACAGCCCCACCACGTGCTTCTCCAGGCCATCCCCACCCGTGGCTCCACCAGAGCACGGGACATCTCACGCTAAGCCCCCCCATAAGGACTCACCATCGTGGAGGACTTGCTGATGCCTCATGAGGTGAGACTTCTTCCGGAAGGACTTCTCGCAGTGCGAGCAGGCGTACGGTCTCTCTCCCGTATGGATGCGTTGGTGGGTGATGAGGTCCGAGCGCCAGGAGAAGCGTTTCCCGCACGTGGTGCAGAGAAAGGGCTTCTCCTTGGTGTGCGTCCTCCAGTGACGCAGGAGGACCACGCTCTGCGTGAAGCTCTTCCCGCAATCCAGGCACTTGAAGGGCTTCTCTCCCGTGTGGATCCGTTGGTGCCGGGTCAGGCTGCTCCCCCAGGTGAAGATCTTCTTGCAGTCCCCACACTTGTACACCTTCCCCCTGGAGCTATTCCTTGGTTGGGTTGTGTCTTCTTGAAGGTCTTCAGCGTACGTCCCTTTGAAAGAGCATTTTCGGGGTCTTCTTGCTACTTTGCTACCTTGCTTATCATCTGGCTGGTGTTGAACATCATGGTCCACGTCCACCTTGGGGTTCTGGGACGCCTCTTTGGGTCCTTCCAGCATCACCCTGTCCTCTTCCATGGGCTGGGACTCCTCCTTCTTCTCGCTGTCTGTCCCATCACCTGTTGGGAGACAAAAGGGGGTCATTTGATAGGTGTTAAGGGACGTTAAGAGCAGCCACCTCCTCCAGCAGCTCCAGCCCAGCCCAGTACCACCCACCACGGTGCTGCCCAGCTGCTGGAGCCCTTCCAGCAAGACCTCCACCTTCTCCAGTAGCTGCTCTGGGATCCCAGCTCGCTCCAGTAGCTGACACCACAGACCAGGGGTGCCGACACCCCCAGCCTGACTCCTACAGATGACCCCAAACCCATTCACACCAGTCCCCCCAGTAGCTAGCACTGGCTCCAGAAACAGTTAAGAAAAAGACTGAATAACGAAGACCGGGCAAATTGCGATGACCAACGCGTAGACCGACCCCCTTGTACTCCACCACCAGTCCCTTCTACACCCTTTTTTTGTCTGCCCCCCCCCTTTTTTCCCCGCCACCCCCCTTCCCCTGCTCATCACCTCCTCCGTACGCACAGTCCCCCCTCCAGCGTTGCATCTTTATCAGCCTCAAACCTCTCGGCAGAACTTCAAAGTTCTACTGGTGGGTAGAAACCCACCCGTTAACGTGACCGGCGAGGTTCGTTTCTGCTTCGCCTCTTCGTTAACGCTAATTGGGCAGGTTTTACGTCTCTGCCTCCTTGTCTCCCTCCCTTCCCTTATCCTTCTCACACGCTGCACAGCCTTGCCCGTTAGCGCCGGTAACGACGTTTGCTCTTATCGTCACCTCCCTTATCACGGTGTGGGGCGGGTTTGTCCCTGGAGGTTCTTGTTGATGGCTTCGTGGTCCAGATACTCTTAAAGGAGACGTGCGCTGGGCAACGGCAGGCAGAGGAGGCATGAAAAGAGGGGGGAGAGATTGAAATTTGGGGGGCAGAAGGGCCTTACCCGGGGACGACACGCTCTCGCGGCTCTTCTCTTGCGTGATGTGGCCAT